TCCACTAACGAAAATACTGCATCATCAATAATGACAGAAACATCCTCCCCATGGGAAGGAAACATAACTGCCAAGGGAGCAACACGACTCTATTCACCAGTGTTTGAGGGTGAGTTGGACATGATGCAAAGTGATAAAGAAGAATTAAAAAATGGGAAAAAGTGGGGATGATGCAGGGCAAAAAAATGAGGAAAGGAAGCTCAGAGAAGAAAAATACAGAGACGAAGGTTGGTGCTCTGAAAAGCTAGAAGAAACAAACTTCAAATTCAAGTTCAAGAACCACTATTTATAGAGATTATGGCACTAAACCCGAAAACGGCTCGTCATATTTGGCACCGGAATCGAAACGGCAGATCCAAGCAAGGTCATGCGTGAATCGAAGCAACGTATCGAGAATATGCGTCATAATGACGCATGATGTCATGACGTTACTCTAACCCTTGGACAAGATAGCTCTAGCAAATCGCCCGGGAAACCTGAGGTATTTGAAATATGCGGCCCACAGAGGGCCACGTTGCTTTTTCGATAGGACGTTTATGACTCTTGTAACCTGCTCGATAAATTCGACCAAAGCGACATTATCTGCTCATTAAGCTCGCCTGCGAGGACGACCTCAATAAATGGAGGGACTAACTCTATGGGTCAAAAATTATCTCTGATATGATCAAACCATGTTAATATTAAGGAGGCATTCACAGAATGCCACGTGTCATCAATACGACTTTAACGAAGGCCCGCCCAAGGACGAAATGGCCCTAAAGCAATGAAGGGTGCGGTCGAAGAGTCAGCAAAGATCAAGGTCGAGAAGTCGTCGTAGGTCAAGGTCGAGGTCGAGCATCTTAGACAGAGTTATAAAGGCTAGTTCAGGGATAGGACAAAAAGGAGAATATTCTAGTGGATATTCTCTGTACCTGTACTATTAGGGTTTTTAGGAATATGTTCCATATAAATAGAAAGAGACATAATGATAGGGGACAAAAATATTCACTTGTAAGAAAACATATTGACTTTATAGAGAGAATTTGACCATATTACAAGTATACAAAACAATATTTTTACTAAGATTCGTGTCTAACTTTTTCACTTGATCCAAAAACAACCTAGGCGGTCAAAGACTTATCAATTATTCATCATTGTCAGAAAGAATATCCACAGATCTCTCCCCTTTTCGGGTGACTCACATGTTGTATTTACTTAAATACCATTCATTGCAACTTATTACTATTTAATGCTATCTTCCACATTTTTGGATCATTGAATACTGCTATTATTGCTCGCATTTATTTCCATTCGATCAAATGTACATTCTGTCTATCATAAAATCGACAACCTTGCCTTTTGGATATTAATATTAGCTAAGATTGACTCTATTATATTTAAATCTAATTGGCTCAACGCAAATCTGAATTTTTAGGTCAAACAATCCAGGGTTAATTAAGTAATTTTGAGACTCTACAGCGCTAATTACCCACAATAGCGTAGAAACTGTTGCACAAGCCTTGTGTGTTGAACATTTTGTGCGTCGCTTGAGGTGTAAATCTTGTCAGATAAGACCTCCTAATATTTGCATGGTTTTATACTTACCTTGACTACATTATGTACATAAATACATGATCCACAGTGTATATGAAGCCTCTATGACAAGGATTACTTAAATGCATAAATCAACCAGACTCTAAGATACCCACAAGGAAAGTAGTAAGCTCACCATGATAAGTTTGAGAAGTGAGAGAGTTACCTAGTGATAATCCATGTCGTCCAAAAGTATCATACCTGCATCCATAAACAGATACAGCACCTCCGACCAAAGGGACGTAAGTACATATTGAAAAATATTCGTATACATAGCCAATCCCCCTTACATAAAAATAGGTCAAGATATATATATATATATATATATATATATATATATATATATATATATATATATATATATATGAGAAGGGACTATGCAAGTAGAATGAATCAATTTAATAATAGACGATAATGGTGATGGTTGGTGTTGGCAATGGCAGGCAGCGTACATGTTAGGTGGCAGTGATAATAAATAAGGTAGAAATGAAATGTTATATTCACAAGAATTTTTAAGTTGAAAAGATGATTTCAAGAACCTGTACAAGATTTGAATGATTTTATGCGCTAAGAAGTTGTTGGAAAAGAAAATACACGTAACTTGTCGAGATTTCAATAATTTAGATTCAAACACCCATCAGATGCAACGCAGATATATATAGAAGGCCATATAATTGATGCAAATGAAGGAAAATAATAGGAATTTTTACCTCCTATAGCAAAGGTTAACACTTTATTTATTTTAAATAAATACCATTTAAAAAAATTATATTCTATAGATACCTTTTAAGGTTTATAGCAAAATATTTAATTTTGGTTACCTCCTAGCCCTAAGCCACTAAATACGCTATTCAGTTACACTATTTTCTTTCTCTCTCTACTTTGATACATCCCATTCTCTTCCCCTACACGATGCTCAATCTCAAAAGGGCACGAATTTCTTTCTCTCTCAGTGAGGCAGCGATGGACCATTTGCTATATACACGAATTTCTTTCTCTTTCAGTGAGGCAGCAATTGAGTCATTCTACAACGAAGGCAGCGATGGACCACCAAAAGGGCACGAATTTCTTTCTCTTTCAGTGAGGCAGCAATTGAGGAAGTTCTGCAGCGAATCGTTTACTGTTTGTGCTTGGACTTGGGTGGCCAATGGTGGCTGCTGCGACCGAGGCGTGGCAGTTGCGGCGATATCTACCGGTTTACTCATCGTTGATTTAGAAGTAGAGAACCGGATTATTGAGAATGGACCGAGTAGTGTTAGTAATTTCTGCAACCGAAATTGAATCCAAAGGAGATGAAGCCTCCGATCGACGACGGCATGGGAACAGTGAGATTCAGAGTTTTTGCTCGACGGCGGATTCGACGGAAATTAGGGTTTGTTCTTAAACAAAGACAGCGAAGTTTGGAGCTGAGCAACTTGATTTTCTGTTAATATATTTCAATCGACGTATCACGCTGTATTTCATTGTATTCATTGTCTTTTTTTTCATTGTAATTCAATGTATCTCACTGTATTCCATGTATTTCATTGTATTCGTTGTCTTTTTTTCATTGTATTTCAATGTATCCTGCTGTATTCTATGTATTTTATTGTATTCACTGTCTCGCTATATGCCATGAATGTATTCATATGTTTTTTTAATTAATATAATTTATGTATTCAGATGTATTATATAATTTCTCTGAAGATTGCTATATTTTTGGGGTATTTTTCGGTTGAGAATCTTTTTTATAACTGAAAATACAATTTTTGTGTGTTATAATTGAGTTTGTTGAGTTATATTATGAGTCTATTATGTTAATTGATTCACTTTCCGTTTTAAAAACAGTGTAATCCCCTATTTCACGCCGTGAATACAGTCGAATACAATAATCTGTCCAGTTGTAATCCCATGTTTCACTCCATGAATACAGTCGAATACACTCGAATACAACAACTGATTAGCTGGACTTCCCTGATTCATGCCTATTTTTGCTACTGTATTCATGAATATAATAGCTTAAATACATCAAATACATCTTATAACCACAGAAAAGGTATCTATAATTCGTAATATAGCAAATGGTATCTATAGATGGCTAATTACTACTAAAAGATAATGCTTTATGAAAATTTCCCAAAATAATATCGTTGTTGCTATTAGAGCTTTCAAGTAACAATATTGTGGTAAAAATAGCACGGTCTAGCCAGTTTTCGGACTGGTCATTCAAAAATAGCCAGCGTTTACCAAGTCAATGAAAAATAGCCACTATTTTGCTACAACAGAGACCGGTCCAGCATAATATACTGGAGTTCGGTGCACCTGTGTATGAACTTCCAGCATATTATGCTGGAACTCCAACACACGGAAAGTTCCAGCATAATATACTGGAGATTCGAGCACTTGTATATGAACTTCCAGCATATTATACTGGACCGGTATACTTTGCTGGAACTCCAGTATATTATGCTGGAGTTCTAGTGTACTTATGCTGGAACTCCATCATATTATGCTGGAGTTCCAGCATACTTATCCTGGAACTCCAGTATAATATGCTGGAGTTAAGTATACTTAGGCTGGAACTCCAGCATAATATACTGGCGTATTTTCCGGATTTTGAACAAAGTTTTCGCTCAGATTTATCTTTACATGAAAAGTGGCTAGATTTCGATTACTTTTAAAACTGGCTATTTTTGAACGACCACTTGTAAATCTAGGTATTTTTGAATTTCTCCCAATATTGTGCCACTCTTTTTATGGGCTTTGGGTCCGGTTAACATGGATAATTCTGGAAAGATCAACTATTCCACGAAAAATTAGAAATAACAGATTGACAATTGATAATTAAAAAATAGCCACAGTTTCAAAAGTAATCGAAAGTTAGCCACTTTTTCATGTAAAGATAAAATCTGAACAAAAATACCCTAAAAAATCCGGAAATATAAGATTCCAACATAATGTGTTGGAATTTCATAATATGCTGGAATTCCAACATAATATACTGGAAGTTTATAGGCAGGAGCTCCATAATCTAGCATATTATGCTGGAACTTTCCATGTGCTGGAGTTTCAACATAATATGCTAGAAATTTATTCCCGGGAGGGAGCTCCATAATCTAGCATATTATGTTCGAACTTTCCGTATTATAGCAAAATAGTAGCTATTTTTCAATGACTTTGCAAATGATAGCTATTTTTTAATTACCAATATCAAAACTGGCTAGCCTGTGCTATTTTCACAATTATTCCTCATTCCCCTAAAGAGTAATAATCCCCTCTGTGAATTCAGATTCTTTCTCATTTCTCTTCTAATTTTCCTTAAAAGATTATTCTCCATTCGATATTTTCAAACCTTCAAAACCTTCTATTTTCCCCAAACCTCCACAACTATTTGCCATTGAAAATATCTTCCTTTAATCTTGCTCGAAATAATGTAATACTAAGAAGACTTTTCCTTTATAATATACTTTAAGAATATAATAAACTTTACAGCAAAGTCGCCCAAAGTATTAACATATTGCAGCTACATAAATTAGCAGCACAAACCTTTAAGCAGACACTTGCATTAAACAAAAACCATTACCAACACAATTGTTACAAACTTTAAACTCAAACAACTTTTAATCTATACAGAGTTGCATACTTGATAACATATTGTGACGCCCCGTTCCACATCGGACAGGGTTTGAACCCTCCACCTCAATTGTGGAAGGCAGGGAACTCACCAAGTGAGCTAGCCTTCAACCCCGACTTACAAGTTTATTCACGAGAAACAAGTACCAATTGCTTGCCAACGTTACGACCCGAGAAGAGGCCAACTAGAGCACCAGGTGCACTTTCAATGCCTTCAGCTATGTCTTCCACATATGTTACCTTCCCTTCTTTTATGTGTGGAGTAACCATTTCAACAAATTTTTGATAAAGGGGAAAGTAATCAGCAGCCAAAAATCCTTGCATACGGACTCGTTTTGAGATGAGACAGAACAAGTTATGCACTCCTTCAGACTGCTCGAGGTTGTATTGTGAGATGAACCCACATACAGCGATCCGTCCATGGATTCTCATGTTCAGAAGAACTGCGTCAAGCATCTTTCCTCCAACATTCTCAAAGTAAATATCAATTCCATCGGGGAAATACCTATTTTTTGAACCAAAACTTTGGTGAGAAATGTGAGTTCTAAGTTCGGGATCTCTCTTACTATAGAATTCCATGAAAAATGCCAAGGAGAAGGGACATGTTGACTAAGAGACGGAGCTAGTATTTGAACTTTATATGTTCTAAATTCTAGGATGGCGAATAAGGTGATAGTAACTGGGTTCCGAATTTTGTTTTTGTACATATTTAGTGAATTTTTTATACAAATATACAGTTTGAACAAACATTACTGGTTCGACCGAACTCGTACTTCGGCTTCTAGCTCTGCCCCCGCATGTTGTAGCTTCCCATTCAAGAAAATATGTCATTTGTGTTAATACTTCAGTTTTAGGGATACAGAGGTTTTTGCTGCTAGTTACTCCATTTTCCAGGCGAAAATGAGTCTATTTTAGAAGAAAAAAGAAACATGAGACTTACCTCTTCAAAGCTGCAGATAAATCCTGTTCCTCTTTATAGTTAAATGCTTCATCAAACCCAAATTTGTTCTTCAATAGTTCAACCTTAAAAACGTGAAAAACAGCGAAAAAAGTTGAGTTCAAAGCAGAAGTACTACTCCATGCCTAGACTTATATGATCATCTTCGCGCAATATTACCTAACAGCAGTATTAACAGACTTCAAGCAATATTATATACAGTCAAACATCTCTATAACAACCGCGTTTGTTCCGATATTTTTTGGATGTTATAGTGAAGTGTTGTTATGGACGACATATATTATAACATAATATAAAAAATCGGTTCTAAGAAAAACCTGATTTTTATAGTGAATGGTTGTCGAATAAGGATGTTGTTATAGAGATGTCTGATTGTATTGTCGTGAGCAATCAAACCAGCTAAGAATGAATAAAAATGAGATATTTCTCATACACTTCCAGATGGTTTAGGCAGTGTCTTTCCTTTTTCTTTAGTCACAAGTTGCTGCTAGGTTATCTTTAGGAACCAACTCCACCTTCTTGCTGTCCGGATACTGATACTTTATTCATCTAATCTCAAACCCCTCATTTGGAAAATGATGTTCTTGACAATAAACTACTGGTCTTGATTTACTAAGCAACAAATATCTTAAACTAAAATAGAGATGACTAGCAACGGAAAGAGAATTTTCCTCCCGATCCCTCGTTAAGAGGCATGGCGGGGCAACAAAAGCCGGTTGACATTAGTTAACATGAATATCATCAAGATTCGGACAATCTTTGAAATTAATCACATTGAACGGATCAACCATTGTGCTGAAGAATGGTTCTTGAAAGAGAGGTTACCTTTTCTTTGCTTCCAGCACTTCCAACAACATAGCAACCCGACAGCTTTGCAAATTGTCCGACGAGCTGGCCTACAGCTCCAGATGCAGCAGAAACATACACAGTTTCTCCCTTCTTTGGGGAGCATAGCTCATAAAAACCTCCATAAGCTGTTATTCCAGGCATCCCTAGGAATACAATTACATTGCTTATCTTTCTATCGTTTTTACACTAGAAATTTTATACTTATCTTTGTCTGAAGTGTGAACTTTGTCTTTCTAGATGCAGACAAACCCAATATAATCAGCAGGGGATCTCAGGAAACTGTTCCCAACTCAGAATTTGGGACAAATATAGACCTTGGCCTTCATTCTGTTTCCACAGTGAAAAGAAAAAGAAGAATTTTTCCAGCTTGAATATGGATATGAACTATGACAAGGAAAATTAATCCTTACAAATACAAACTCTGGATTGTTTTTTTTATAACATATTTTGAAAAGAAAAAGAATCAGTTCAACAAAGATTGTAGCATTTTCTTGAGATATAAGTATTGAAGTGTGTAATCATCTAACATCCCCCTGCACGTATAGGAGGGGACTGGGGACATCTCCTACGTGGACAATAAAACATGGGCGTCAAATAATGGATAAACCAAGAACAGAGATGAGTTTGACTCTTACACCATATTATAGAGTGTGATCATATGCTTTTAGATAAGACGGTCACACAGTACTAACAATAAGTACTAACTTGCTTAGAATTCTATTAACTCGAAGTTCCGATAGCCAATTTTAAATCTCCAGCTGGGCAGGCTCAACATATAACTACTTCAGGAAATTGAATAAATCTCCACATGGTGCTTATGATATTTTTTGACAGAATAACTTACCAAGGATTCCTGTATAGTAGGAAAGAGGCACATCTGTATTATGAATTTTGAATAGACTGTCAGGAGCTTTAATAATGCTGTATTCTTCCCATCCAGTAATTCCCCAAACTAAGTCATCTTTCTTGAATTTTGGATGAGCTGAATCCACAACTTTAGCCACTCCAAACCCCACTATAGGCTACATGAAAAATGATCTGGTAAGTGATAATAGTAGAGAATCATAGTTAGCCAAATTAAAATTGGAAGGATTCGGTTGCCATTCATGTAAAACTTGTAGAATTTGACAGCAATAAGTAAATTTTGGTCCTTTTTCCATGGAAAATCTCGATTTAATAGATATTGGTAAAACTTCCATATCTACAATAGATATTGGTTTTCCAACTATTTAATTAACTTAATATTGATCCTCCTTGTTCAAATAATATCATTAATTAAGTTAGTTGCTCTTAAATGAAGCGACATGATCTGTGAGGTCCAACCTCAACTTAGAGTTTGAGATTAAGGCTTCGTTTTTAGAGGCGGATCCAAAATTTAAATTCTATAGATTCAACCTTTAAGGTATTTAACATTGAATCTATTATATTTTTAAAATTGTGGGTTCTGACCTACTATTTGTTATAATTTTAATACATTTTTCACATATAAATTTATACTATTTGTTATAATATTCAGATGAACCCGATGCTAATATGCTGATCCGCCTCTGGCCGTTGTTGTCGTTGTTGTTCTGTTTGGATGGTTGTTACGTATCGTTTCATAATGTATCGTATTGTACTGTATTGTGTTGTACTGTATCGTTTGATAAATACAATGTTTGGATAGATTGTGTCGTTTGCCATCGTTTCATGATATCACGCACCAGCAATATAAAGAATAAACTTGCAATATTATAAAGAAAAAATATGATACAGGGTAAAATTATTATATAAAAAAGTAGGGTAAATGATAAAATAAAATTATTTAATAATAATAAAGAGTGAGATTGAGAGAAAAGACAAGGTAACGACACGACCACACCAAATCGGTCGTTACATAAAGTGGCATATTTCGTCGTTATGTAACGACGGATTTAACAATACGATACAATAAAACTTAAGTTACAATCAAAACAAACATCGTACTTAAGGTAACAATACGATACAATACAATAGGTAACAACCATCCAAACAAGTTGTAAGTCAGCTGTTGTGGCACCATGTATCACAATGTTTTACTGCCTCTTTTCCATATAATTATAATTTGTCTGTTTTCTACATTAGGACTCGTTTGGTAAGATTAATCCCGAGATTAAATTTGAGATGAGTTTATCCTGTGTTTGGTTGGGATAAAATCGTGGCATAATTAATCCCGATTGTAGTGCTTTTTTATCCCTATGGGAGGGTGGGACAACTAATCCCAGGATAATTAATCATGGGATAACTTGTTTCCCAACCAAACGACCCTGTGGAACTATCAAATTAATGGCAACCTATGTTGATTTTACAACAGAAGCTGAAGAAGCTTAGCCGCAGATTGAGTCAATGATCAAGAGAGTCTATTGGGGATGTGTTTGAACAAGTGAATGAATGGGAAAATAAAGTACATATTGTGGAAGAACTGGATATGAACAACAACAATGACCTCACCAGGGCAGAGCTCAATAAGACTAAAGCTGAGTATCTGAGATGGCTCTCAATGCAGGAATCTCTTCTTAAGCAAAAATCCCAAGTGAAATGGTTCGAGGAAGGTGATTGTAATACCAAGTATTTTCACAACACTATCAGGGAAAGAAGAAGGAAGCTCCAACTACATAGAATCAGAAACCATAGAGGAAATTGGGTGCAAGGTGATGAGAAAATTGGAAAAGCTGCTATTAGACACTTCAAGAAGCTATTCAATCTGGAAAAAGTTGATGTCGACAACAAAATTCTTGATTGTATCCATAGTGTCATTACTTAAGAGGAAAATGATATGCTTGCTTCTATGCCAGATGAGGAAGAGATCAAGGATATTATTTTTAATATGAGTGCTCACAATTCAGCAGGTTTGGATGGGTACAATGGGGCCTTCTATCACAGTTGTTGGCATATTAGCAAAGAAGATATAGTTGCATTTGTTCAGTATTTCTTCAAGGGCAAGAGTTTAACTAAGTTCTTTTCGCATACCTGCTTGGTCCTTATTCCTAAAACAGAGTCGCCCTCTGGCTTCTCTGATCTTAGGCCTATTAGTTTGAGTAACTTCTCCAACAAGATCACTTCGAAGATCTTAACCAGGAGGCTCAATTCACTGCTCCCTAATTTAAACTCTGAGAACCAAAGTGGCTTTGTCAAAGGAAGACTAATAACTGAAAATGTGTTGCTTACTCAGGAGATTGATCAAGGCATCTCTGACTACAACAAGGGAGGTAATGTGGTGATCAAGCTAGACATGGCCAAGGCATATGATAGGATGAATTGGTCTTTCCTTATCTCGGTACTTAGAAGATTTGGTTTCTCAGAGGGTTGGATTGATCTCATCTGGAAGCTTATATCAGATGTTTGGTACTCAGTGATTATCAATGGCAAGAGAATGGGATTTTTCACTTCAGCTCAGGGTCTTAAACAGGGTGATCCTCTTTCACCATCCTTATTCATATTAGGTGCTGAAGTGTTGAGCAGGATGTTAAATAACCTGCAACACAATGACCATTTTACCTCATCTTCTATGAGTATAAAGGGTCCTTATATTAATCATCTTGCCTATGCAGATGATATTGTAATCTTTAGTAGTGGGAATAGTAAGTCTTTGAGGCTGATTATGAAGCAAATTCATAAGTATGAGGAGCTCTGGCCAGAGAGTTAATGAAGACAAGTTTTTTCTTAACCTCTCCTAAAGCAGGTGCTTGCAGGATCAACAGGATCATTGGTGTCACTGGTTTTAAGAACAAGGATTTTCCTTTCAATTACCTTGGATGTCCAATTTATATTGGTAGAATTTTTTATGAATATTTTGATAATATGCTGGCCAAGGTAGTCAATAGGCTTAATGGTTGGCATGGTAAATTGTTATCCAGTGGTGGCAGGCTAATTCTCATCAAGCATGTATTACAGTCCATGCCTACTTATACCCTCACTGCTATGAAACCTCCTAAAGGGATCCTAAATTTTATGGAAAAATATTTTGCTAGATTCTTTTGGGGAAATTTGGGGGACAAGCATAAATATCATTGGAGTTCCTGGAAGAACCTTTGTTATCCTAACGATGAGGGGGGCATTGGAGTTAGGAGTATGGAGGGAGATCAGCGATACTCGAACTATGAGAACCTGTGTTATCCTAAAGATGAGGGGGCATTGGAATTAGGAGTATGGAGGGAGATCAGCGATACTCTAACTATGAAAAGATGGTGGAGGTTCAGGACTCAACCTTCTTTATGGTCTTCCTTCCTACAAGCTATGTACTGCTCTAGGAAACATCCTGTTGCTAGGAAAAGTTATGCTAATACCTCTCATGAATGGAAGAACCTTATGAGGATCAGGAAGAAAGCAGAGCCTAGTATGATCTAGAAACTACATGCCGCTACTTGTAGTTTTTGGTGGGATAATTGGACAGGGGAAAGTGCATTAGCTAATTTCTGTCATAATGTTCGTACCCCTGCCAAAACTCCTGTTAAGAACTTCATTCAGAACAATCAGTAGAATATTGATAAGCTTCAAAGAATTGTCCCTACTCACATGGTTCAACAGATATTGAAAGTTGAGATTGGCCCTAGCTCCCAACCTGACTTCACCATATGGAATCTTTCCCATGACAGACACTATTCTAACAATTCTGCGTGGCAAATTAATAGGAACAAGAGACAACAGGATCCTTTTCTTGCTAAAATCTAGCATAGTAGTATCCCTCTTAAAATGTCCTTCATTTGTTGGAGACTACTAAAAAGAAAACTTCCTTTTGATAATACTATTAGCAGGTTTGGGAATCAGCTAGTATCTAGATGCTCTTGCTGCACCAGGCCTGACGTAGAGTCCATTCAACATGTCTTTATGGAGAATGATGCTGCTCAGTATATGTGGAATAAATTTGGATCTCCATTGGGGATTAAACATCAATGTTGGCAGGTAAATAGAACCATAAAATATTGGTGGGACATGAGACCTACTATGATTTTGCAGGTTACCCCTATTGTGATAATATGGGAAATGTGGAAGGATAAATGTGCATGCAAATATGGCAAGCAAAGGAAGGTGTCTACATACGGAATGGAGCATCAAGATTCATGGAGTATGAAGACAATACTTGGAGAGAAATACACCAACAATGATTTCAATTTGCCTTGGATAAAGCTATGTTAAGCAGTGGAACATCTTAAACCTTAAACCTGTACCTAGATGGAAGCAGGTACTCTGGAAGAAGCCTCCTAATGACACGGTCAAGATAAACACTGATGGAAGCTATAACACCAACACGGGCAAGGCTGGAATGGGTGGTATAGAACAAGGAGATATTATCTTTGCTTTCTCAGTCCCTGTCCAGTGTAACAGTAACAATGAAGTTGAAGCATTAGATGCTATGTATGGGATTAACTGGTGTATTATTGATGGATATACCAATCTTTGGCTGGAACTGGACTCTAAGATTATCTCGGATATGCTAAGGAATAGAGTCACGAATAACTTGAAGCTTAAGACCATTATAGAGTGCACTCTACGGTCGCAGACTTCATGACAAAAAAGGCATCTGACCAAGCTATGGAGTCCTTCTATCAATCTTATTATAGTCTTCCTAAAGAAGCTAAAGCAATTTTCCAGTTAGACAAAACCCAGCTTCCCAGCATAAGACTAAGATATGACAAAGCTAACTTCTATATATGTCAGTTAATTATTTTTTTGATGTACTTATCTGAGGTTTAGAATAATGTAGGGGAACTCTCTCCCCTAATACAGCCTTTTTTTTGCTCTATTTGACAAATTGGTCTATACTAATACTCCTACTCGGTATACAACTGAGTAGTTTTTTTTTTTTTTTAAAAAAAAACAAACGAAAAACATTTAAGAGTCTTAATTAAGAGTACTTGTCTAAACTGCCGTTTATTGATTTTCTTAAACTTAAATATCTCACTTATTAATTGACACCTACTAATAGCAAAAAGGTTGAATTTGGAAAGAATTGAAAATTCTAAAACATCAAATATCTTAGAAACAATTTCAGCCTACGGAAACAGTAATAATATAAATTGGATGTAATAAAACTTAAAAATTAAACATAAAAAGGGAGGAATTCTGACTTACAGAGCCAGGAGTAAAAGAATCAGTATAACTGCCCTCTGTTTTCTTCATACGAGGTCTCATGTAAGGATCACACGACAAGTACAGATTTTTCACCAACACAAATTTGGAATCTTCTGGAACCTTCATTTTTATGGTGCTGATTTTCAATTCCATGTCTGATTCCTTAGGAAAACCATTTACATAATCCTTTAATATGATCTGCTTGTTACTAACTTCCTCCATTTCCACTGTAATTTGAACAAACCTTTAATTTCTTAGTGCTGGACTGGAGTTTTGAAAAGATTATGAAGAAGAAATTAGCGTGAAAAATGTGAATAGAAGTTGAGGAAGATTTCAATATCTTATTGAATTATTGCTTTCTATGGTTGGGTCATTAGTTGCTTTAACTATTTCTGTCTTTTGCAAGGTGGCTATTTGCTGGTGGGGGTTCTTTCATATGTGGAACCTTTTGACTTTTTCTCCAAAAAGCAACTTTTGTTGGCTTTTAGTGTTTCTTCCTTTTTAAAAAGGGTTATATTATGTGGCCGAATTACCCCTACTATCAATAAACTTTTAAGAATCACCCTACAGTCCGTCAGATGACTTAGAATCTCCCAAATTATTTTAATTTAGTCACTTATTCTTTTTTTTAATCCACTATTTTCGAAATAGTTGGCATTTACCTGCTTTCTTAATTGGAAAGAAATATTAAAATAATACAATAATTAGTAAACAAAGTATAGTAAATTGAAGAATCTAAATTAGGTACCTAGTCTAAATTCCAAAATTATTTACAATACCCCAACTCGAATTAATTCTTTGCACCAAAGGTATAGAAACTTCGCAAGTATTCGTGATAGAAGATTGAAGTTCCATGGAGACTTTACATTGTCGAATTCATCTTTTCTTTAATCAAATGCCTACGCATTGTACACTCTTAAGTTAGTCGATCGAACTATATATTAACCAGACAATAACAAAATATATTCGAATATACATATACGTACATGATGAACAGTTGCATATAATACACAATAAATAGATCCCCTGAATTCTACGGTGTATATGGTTGAAAAATGAATAAAACTTAAAACCAATTCAAAACTCATCATCACAAGAAAAGAAATAGGTGCAATGGTAATTAAATTATCCATGAATAATTTGTATAGTCTGGTACCTTTACCATTCATATCAATAGCAATTTCAGAAAATAGTGGAGCAAGAAGAATAATGTCACCACCCGAAATTTCCACTGTCGGGACCGTGATGGCACCGAATATTTCACTTTCTAGGCAAGCCAACATTAGAACAATTTATCCATTTTTAATAATTGAATTAAATAACCAGAGATAACTAGAATAACCGAAATATCAATGCGAAAAATAAAACTGCCAAACGTCTGTTACAATTCCTTGAACTTGGTGTCACAAGTGCATGAGCTTCTAAAGTAATACACATAAGGGTCTGAAATAAGTACAAAAGTAATACACATAAGGGTTTGAAATAAGTACAAAGCTGTCTGAATGAAGTTATACACCTAAAAAGAAAAGAGGATGGGGAATCCAGGAGCTGAGGGCGCTGAACAGTCGTACCTCAAGTCTCCGCCAATGTCCAATACGGGCACGCTAATAACCGCCGCTAGGATCGACTCCAAAATCTGCACAATGTGCAGAGTGTAGTATCAGTACAACCGACCCCATGTACTGGTAGGTACCGAGCCTAACCTCGACGAAGTAGTGACGAGGCTAATGTGGGTTACCTACATTATAACTTGTACACAATATATAATAATGACAAAATAATTGAAATACTGAATAGAATCTAAACAGCCAACACAAATTGATAGTCACAGCCTCGAAAATACACCAGTGTCGTCCAGAATTACCAATCCTTACCAGTTCAAATAATAATAATGAGAAACAACGCAGCTCAGGAAAATAGAAACATATAGGTTGTTGCGGCGCGCAGCCCGCTTCCACCAGACAACACATAATCCTCCCTTATTATACCGTAACAATACCAATAACACTATATAGCATAGATTTTTGCGGCGCTCAACCCGATCCCACCGTACATCAATATCAATGTCACAATTCACCCTTATTCCACCATATCAATCCACCCTTATTTCATCTGTTGCGGCGCGCAGCCCGATCCCACCATACAATATGAATTCACCCTTATTCCACCTTATCAATCCTTCCTAATTACACATGCTCCGGCTTGCAGCCCGATCCTACCATATCAGTACCAATCACTCAATGTACACAGTCAAATCAACAGTGGAAACTACAAAGCCTTTACGATCAATAAATACCCAACTGAACCAAAAGCGAAACCTGGTTCAATATAGAATCTACACAAATAGTACTACACAGTGAGACCAATCCAGCAATTTAACAATTATAAGGTGAAAACAAGTCAAGTTAAGCAAATAGCAGGGATTCGAGAAATTTTGAAAATAGCTACATCATTAACGGGAGAAGATATTGATTAACAGGTAGCAGCTAAGCATGGAAAGCATGTGGAGCATATAAAAGTTAAGACAGGAAGGGAACCAATTATAGAAAAGTGCTAAATTAGGGAAAATAGATAATTTGGCGGCGTATAAGCACTCGTCACCTCGCATATACGCCGCTCAAATGAGAACCATATAGCAAATAGTCCGAGGGTTCCTAATTCTCTCAAGTCAAGGTTAGACAAACACTTACCTCGCTCCAAGGATCACTCAAAGCTCAACCACGACTTTGCCTTTCAAACTAGCCTCGGAACCAACAATATCTAGCAAATTACCAATCAAACGATTCAAAATAAGCCTTAGGAATCGCCCACGATAATACAAATTCGATTTAGGTCATTATTGAAAAAGTCAAAACCCGGGCCCGCCTGATCCAAACCCGAGCCCGGATATGTAATTGGTTTTGGAATCCGACCTCAATTTGAGGTCTAAATCCCCAAATTTTGAAATCCCTAGTTTCTACCCAAAAATCCCCAATTGCACCGTAAAAATCTTAGATTTTAAGTTGAAATCTTGTAAAATAAAGTGAAAGATTGAAAGAAACTAGTTTACAATCACTTATCAATTTTTTTGGGGAAGAAATGGTCTTTGGAAAATCGCCTCTTGTATTTTAGGTTTTGAAAATTTGAAGAATGGGAGAAAAATCCCGTCCAAAATCATTTTGATCAGTTGCAGGTGTCGCATTTGCCACCTGGGGTTCGTAAATGCGAACCCCGAAAATGCGAAGAACCTATCGCGAATGCTAAGGTCTCCCCATTCATGTTTGCATCGTAAATGCGAAGAAAACCTCGCAAATGCGAGCCTGACCCTTTCCACAAATGCGACCATGTGATCGCAAATGCGATCACTGCCTTCCCCCGTCCCAGTTCGCAAATGAGAAAACTATAAGGCCCAGCTATTCTTCGCAAATGCAGAACCTGCAGAGGTCGCAATAGCTATACCTGATCTCACATTTGCGAGATCAGAGGCCTACACCAGCAACTGAAACACCAACAATGTTCTAAGTCCTATTTTCACTCTGTAGCCTATCCGAAACTCACCCGAGCCCTCGGGACTCCAAACCAAATATGCACACAAGTCTTAAAACATCATACGAACTTGCTTGCGCGATCAAATTGCCAAAATAACACCTAGAACTACGAATTTAACACCAAATGAAATGAAATTCTCAAGAACATTTTATAATTTTTATTTTCTCAACTGGACGTCCGAATCACGTCAAACCAATTCCATTTTTCATCAAATTTCTCAGACAAGTCATAAATGTGATATTCGACCTATACCGGGTTCCGTAACCAAAATACGAACTCGATATCCAAAAAGTCAAACCTTGGTCAAACATTTCCCTTTAAATAAGCCTTTAACTTTCAAATTTCAACAAAGTCCGATATCTCGGGCTAGGGACTTTCGATTTTGATTTCGGGCATACGCCGAAGTCCCAAATTACGATACGGACCCACCGAGACCGTCAAATCATAAAAACGGGTGCGTTTACCAGAAATGTTGACCGAAGTCAACTCAAAGAAAGTTTTAGGCAAAATTTCTTATTTTCTTCAACTTTTAACATAAAAGCTTTCCGGAAACACACCCCGACTATGCACGCAAATTGAGGAGGGTAAAAATGAGATTTTTAAGGCTTAAAAGCGCATAATTGAGTTCTAAAATACAAGATGACCTTTCGGGTCATCACATTCTCTACCTCTAAAATAATCGTTCATCCTCGAACGGACATAGAAAAGTACCTGAGCTGGTGAAAAGGTGGGGATATCTGCTCCGCATATCGGACTCGGACTCCCAGGTAGATGCCTCAACAGGCTGACCTCTCCACTACACTCGAACTAAAGGATAACTCTTTGATCTAAACTGGCGAACCTGCCGGTCTAGAATAGCTACCGGCTCTTCTTCGTAGGTCAAATCCTTGTCCAGCTGGATAGTGTTGAAGTCTAACACGTGGGATGGATCATCGTGATACTTCCAAAGCATGGACACATGGAACACTGATTGATCGCTGATAAACTAGGTGGCAACGCAAGTCTATAAGACACCTCTCCCACTCGCTTAAGAATCTCAAAAGGCCCGATGTACCTAGGGCTCAACTTGCCCTTCTTTCCAAACCTCATTACACCCTTCATGGGTGACACACGGAGCAACACTCCCTCTCCGACCATAAATGCAACATCACGGACCTTACGGTCAGCATAACTCTTCTGCCTGGACTAAGCTGCATGAAGTCTATCCTGAATGATCTTAACCTTATCCAAGGCATCCTGCACCAAATCTCTACCCAATAACCGAGCCTCCCCCGGCTCAAACCATCCAACCGGCGATCGACATTGTATACCATATAATGCCTCATAGGGAGCCATCTGGATGCTCGAGTGCTAGCTGTTGTTGTAGGTAAACTCCGCTAGCGGCAAGAACTAATCTCACGAACCTCCGAAGTCAATAACACAAGCACGGAGCATATCCTCCAATATTTGAATAGTGCGCTCGGACTGCCCGTTCGTATGAGGATGAAATGTTGTGCTCAGCTCAACCTGCGTGCCCAACTCACGCTGCACTGCCCTCCAGAAATTCGAAGTAAACTGCGTACCTCGATCAGAAATGATAGACACGAGCACACCGTGAAGACGAACGATGTTGCGGATATAAATCTCTGCTAACCACTCTGAAGAATAGGCAACTGCCACAGGAATGAAATGCGCTGACTTGGTTTGTCTATCCATAATAACCCAAACTACATCGAACTTCCTCTGAGTCCGTGGGAGTCCAACATCGAAATCCATAGTGATACGCTCCCATTTCCACTCAGGAATCCCTATCTTCTGAAGCAAACCACCAGGTCTCTGATGCTCGTACTTTACTTGCTGACAATTTAGACACCGAGCTGCATATGCAACTATATCCT